GGAGTGACAAATTCGGCGAAAAGGTTCTGAAAATCATCGGGACTACCAGCATTGGCCAACTGCTGCGCAAAGTCCACTAAGGCCGCTGACAAATTGTCTCACTGCTTACTTTCTTCTTTATTCTCAAAAGGTCAATCGATTGTTGGGTTGCTATTTAAGTGACCACGTAGAAATTTTACTGTCTCGTGCTCTAAATTTATTCTGTTTAAAAAATCATCTAATTCTGCTGTAAAATTTGTGAATAAAATTTCAAGTTGAAAAGTATCATTATTTCTTAAAAATCTCGCTCTGGCTTGCTTGTAGAAGGCGGTTAATCGTTCTTCAAATCTGGCGGCAAAAGTTTTGGTTTCTTTAACCCTTCCATATTTGCTTTTTATCTCAATCAAAACTTCTAATCTCTCTTTTAATTTATTCAAATAAGTTGAAAGGGTAAAAGTTTCATCATTTTTATCTGACAAAGTGGTAAATTCCGGCTCACGACAAAAATTTAATTCAAATTCTAATTTTTCCACTAAAAGTTCTGCCCATTTCTCTTCTCTAAGTAACTTTACTAAATCGTTCTTAGCCATATTTTCACTCATTTCGGTGCTTTCTTGAACAGTTTTTACCCACGGAATTAAACAGTGTTCCAGTCAACCGGCCAATTTTGTTTGCCGTAAGACCTCATCTGGTTCGGCTTGGCAATTTGCTAAAAAAATGTTTAATTGCTCGATCGCTTTGCCTAAATCGCCACTTTTTCACCATGTTTGAATCTTTTCTCCGACTTTTTGTGGGTCTAATCTCTCATATTCACTAAAAACATTTGCAAGAACTTTTATTACACTTTTTGTACTTTTCATAATGGATAAATTAAATATTATATTAATATTTTAGCAAAAAAAAAAAAAAAAAAAAAACCGGAAATTTTAGCACTCTGAACTAACTTGAAGGAAAAAGTTAACTTATATCAAAAATGAACTCAGGAGAAAGTTAATTATCAACCGCAATTAGATGTTATGACTACTAAATGAAATAATTCTCAAATAAAGTTAGATAAAATAAGATACTTATTGTCGACAAAACAAATTGATAAGTCAAAAACCCTTTTTATTTAAGGCAAGATTTAACCCCCAGCCTTTATAATTAGACTTTAAAGAAACTAGAAAAAAAGCAAAAAAGAACCTTAAAAAATAAGTTATAGATGAAGCATGGTTAAAAAGATTATTAATTATCCAGTTAATCGTTACTCTTGCAGTATAGTTATTAATAAACGATGGTTTACTGAATTAGTTATTAGTCAATATTATAAGATAAAACCCGGTAGATCAACAGTAAATGATGAAATAATTCAAGAGTTAAATTCAAAAATTGCAACAAATAAATAAGCAATTTCGGAAAAACAAAAACGACTATTACGATTTTGAACCTTTATATATTGATTACCGCGCTTATAATTTAGTGTGAGATTACGATGATAAAGAAAAATCAATTAACAAACTTTTAATAATTGATTGTTATCGAGAAAAGAAATTTGATAAGAAATAAAAACATGACAAAAAAAGAAGTTAAATTTAAAAAAATTGGGACTGGTCAAATGCCAATTAATGTGGCAACCTTAGAAAGAATGCAAAAACCAGGTTATCGTTATATAAATAAAGGACTGAGTTTAAATGCTACTCCCTTAGAAAAAAGTAAGTATGATATTTGTCAAGATATTTTGTCCTACACCCAAGAAAATAATATTTATGACCAAGTTTTAAAGAAAAGGTTAGGAATTAAACAAATTGAATTAGTTCATCTTGTATACTGTCATGTTGATAAATTTACTTTGGATCAATTAGTTAATTATGCTAGCAAATTATTTGCTCATTTTCGCTTAGGAATTATTCCTGAAAAAACTTTACTTTTTTCCCAAAAAACTTCTAATGATCGGACCAGAAAACCTGCTTAATTTACTTTTTTCTCTCTTAACTTTTGTATAGAAACTTAATAATGAGCCTTATGCACCCTTGATTTTAGATAAATGAACTGATAAATATTTGCCATAGTGATTACCAAAACAAACTTTTGCGATACATGTCAAGGGCAATAAAGTTAGATTTGTTCTTTTATCAGAATTTTTAAGCAAGTATTTTAGCCCTTAGTCTCGTGATTATTTATTCTTAACTCGTAATAATAAAAAACTCACTAAGGGACAAATCCGAAGAAATAGTGAGCAATATTAATGTCATTACTAAAACCATTTTTTTAATTCCTTAGTATTAGTCCTTTGTCCCATGTTTTGTGTAACTATTAAATTAAAAAGAAAAAACTAGTTTTTTAGAAAGGTAATTGTAAATTAACTTGAATAATTTGAGACTGTTGTTTCAATAATTCTGATTGTCGAAGTGCCATTAATAAAATCTTGGCTTCTGTAGCTGGGGACTGTAAATCATAAAGTTGGTTTATTTCTGACTCAGATACTTGTCTGCTTAATAATTCTTGCTTAAGTGATGCTAATTGGTCTAAATGCGCCTGGATCATCACACTATTTTGAGGAAATTGAGAGAATCCAGTATCGTTAGCAACTTGACTTGACATTTGCATGATTTTTATTTCTTGCTGAGTTCTCAAAAAATTCGATAACAGCGGTTCGATTTCATTGCCTACTCTAGATTGAATTAGTTCTTTTAATATTCGCGAGTTGCGAAGAAACTTAAGCAAAGATGATTTTGCCCAGTTGATTTCAGTTTCTTTGCTTTGGGCTTGGTTTTCATTCAAGCACAATTCCTTTTTTATTTCTTTTACTCGTGCTCCCGCCCTTATTTCGGCACAAAAGAAGAATTTCAAATTCGGAGGTGAATATTCCAATCCTGAACTAATATCAGTGCCACTAATATCTAGTTCTTCTAATTTCTCTAAGGTTGACAAGAATTCCAAAGAGCCATAAAAACGATTATACTTTCCTTGTCTAATCATTCCTTCATTATCATTCTCTAGATTCAAAGAATTCAGATTGGTAAATCGAGAAAAACAACTTAAATTTCGTTCAGAAAGATTATTGTTATTAATTCAAACATTTTCTAACTTTTCCGAAGTAAGAGGAGATAAGTCTAAGTTGGTTATTTGATTATTTGCACAAGCAAATATTTTTAATTGGCTTAAATTAGTTAGGTCTAGATCTTCCAAATAATTATTAGAGCAATCAAGAATGCTTAAATTTGCACAATTACTAATTATTAACCTAGTGACACGCTGATCATTAATAACCAATTTTTCTAAATTAATAAAATCAGTTAGGTCTAACTGGCCGGTCAGACTAGTATTTAAATAATGTCTATCCTCCCGAGGAATACTACTAATTTGAAAAAGCGGAAACTCGTCAACGTCCTCATTTTGGTACTTAGCAGATCTAACAAGAAGTCCTTTTATTTCTGCTCTTTTTTCTTTGGTATTATATTTTTGTTGACTTTCTAGTCATTCTTGGGCGTTTAACATATTATTATTATTAAATTCATGTATTTTGTTAAAATTAAGTTTCACAATCACTAAAAACCTTTAAAGTACTAATCTAATAAGATAGTGATTGGTTTTTAGATTTTTATCCCCATTAGATATTTCTTATTATTCCGACCATAGGCAAATAACAAACATATAGATCCTTATTACTTATATAGTAAATATCATTCTATATATAAAGTTTTAAGGTTTTAGGCTAAACAGTTAAGTTATTAATCTCATTGCTAGTTGAGGATAAATGGATTAAACTACTAAGTAATAAAACCTTTGTATTTCTCGCTTAGTTCTTGATGAGAAATTATTTTTTCTGGTCTAATTTCTTCTAATTTTATTGCTTGGCTGATATGGAAACTCCCTGAACTAATTCTTCTTAAACTTGTCACCGTAGCAATGGTGGCTAATCTTTGGGCAATATCTTTGACTAGACTACGAATATAAGTCCCTTTGCTGCATTCAACTTGTAAACTTATTATGTTTTTTTCTGAGTTGTATTCTAACAGTTCGATTTTTTTTACTTCTACTTGACGGAGAGAAACTTCTATTTCTTTACCTTGGCGAGCATATTCGTACAATTTTTTACCCGCTATTTTTATTGCTGAATAAAGGGGAGGCTTTTGTCAGTAAGTGTAGTTGCAAAAAGAATTAATAACTTCTTGAACTTTTTCTCTTTTAAACGGTTTTGCCTTTTCTCTTTTGATTATTTTACCAGTTATATCACCACTATCGGTTTCAATAAATAATTCCATTTCGGTTTGATAAGATTTAAATTGACTAATTAATAAGTTACTTAGTTTGGTGGTTTTGCCTAACATAACTATTAGTAAACCAGTCGCCAAGGGATCGAGGGTTCCTGCATGACCAACTTTTTTTATATTTAGTCGCTTGCGAACGATTTTGATAACTTCATGAGAAGTAATACCGCTAGGTTTGTCAATTAAAAGTAATCCATCCATACTAAAAATTAATAATAAAGGATCTGTAGTTCAACAGGTAGAACACTCCGCTGATAATGGAGAGGTAGGTGGTTCAAGTCCACCCGGATCCACCATTTGTAGTTCACTATCTTATTTTTAAAGAGTTTTTAATCTAGAAAGATAAAAAAATGCTTTATAAAATAAATCTTAAAAAATTACTTAACATGCCTAATGCTCAAGAACACCTTAACCAAATAACAAATAAGGAAAGAATTTTTTATTTAGATATTAGCAATCGTGACTTATCCGGAGCCATGAATTTGGGAGAATTTAAGAATTTAAAAGGGCTTAATTCTTCGAATAATAAATTCACTAACTTAACTTTTTTAAGTTCCTTGCCCAACAAGGATAAGTTAGAGAATATTAATTTTTTTGGCAATGAAATAAAAGAGGTAGATTTTGTTTCCTTGTTCAACAATTTTCCTAAAATTAATTGAAACTGGAAAAGTCAAAATTAATTCTTGAAAAGGAACTTTTTTAGTAGATTTATTAAAGTATACTGAAAGGTTAGTTACTTCTTCTCAAAGCAGAAAAATTTCTTCTAAGGATTATTTTTATTCTGAGTTGAATGAACCCAAAACTAATAACTTCACTTTTTTATCTATTTTAACTGTTCTACCACTTTTTCTATGATCGCTTTTAGTTATTTATATTAAATAAACACACACGGAAATTAATGACAATTAATACAATATAAAATGGCAGGGTGACTTTCAAGAGAAGAATGATTCAAAATCACAGGTTGAATAATTTCACTGCTGTGTGCTTTCGGTTCTACATACTGAACAATTCGTAAAGGTAAAAAAGTAATTAGAGAGTTATCAGAATGATTAATAAAAGAAATAAAAGTTAAAAACAAACTAGAAAAGGAAATATTGGAGAAAAACGCAAAAGAATGAAAGAACTCTTACAATCAAGAAAAAGAAAACAGTAAGGATTGAGAAGAAAGGTTTAAAGAAACGTCAGCAAAACGTAATGAATTATTAGAAAAATCAGCAGAAATAGAAAGCAAATTGAAGTTAGTAGTTACGAGGTTAAGGCTTCAGTTATTCAAAGAGGCAAAGATTCCGTGAGAAAAACACGAGATTGACGATGATGAAAAAAGAAACGAAGCAGTTTGAGCAGTTAAGTGACACTGAGAAAATCACACTTAGAACAGAAATGGCAAAATCAATGGAAAAACTATAACCGAGGTCTTATGAGAAGGTTGAGAAAATGTCTTTAATAGTAAGAAGGGATGGGATATCATAATAGAAAGAGATAGGTTAATTGCTTTAATTTATGATGAAACTGCTAAACTTTTGAGGTAAACAGCCTTTTTCTTCTTTAAGTTTTTAATTTTTACTAGGTAAAACAAACAAAATAAAAAAAACTAAGCAATATTTTTTCTAGATAAATAATAATGAATAAACAAGGCATAACTCCAAAGATTTTAATGGGTTTAGAAATCCATGTTACTCTTAATAGCAAAAAAAAAGTTTTTAATTGAGTAGACACCTATAAAAGCGACTCAACACCCAATAGCAAAATAAGTGCTTGAGAACTAGGCTATATAGGAACCTTACCAATAATTAATCCTGAAGTTATTGTTTTAGGTTTAAAACTAGCAGTAACTTTAGGAATGGAAGTTAGTAAAAGCATTGTATTTGATCGCAAAATTTATAATTACTTTGACTTACCCAAAGGCTATCAAATAACCCAACAAAAATTGCCCCTTGCTACTTTAGGATACTTACCGGTTATTAGGGAAGATGGAATAGAAGAAGTGCCGATAAAAGTTTTGCAAATAGAAGAAGACACTGCAAAGAGTAGTTATGATACAGAAGGGGTTAAGTTAGACTTTAATCGAGCTGGTAATCCGTTGGTAGAATTAGTCACTGAACCTGTTTTTCAAACGTTAGAGGATGTTTCTAGGTTTGTTAAGCAACTTCAAAATCTTTTACGTTACTTAGAAGTGTCTGAGGCTAAAATGGAAAAAGGACAATTACGGATTGATTTAAATGTTTCTTTACAATTAGGGGATAAATATTCTACACCCCGCTATGAAATTAAAAACCTTAACTCGTTGGCTAATATTGAGAAAGCAATGAAATACGAGATTAAAAAGCATCAACTGTTATTCTCACAAGGTAAAAATCCTCCGTTTAGTCAAACCTTAGGATTTGATGAGGCTCAGCAAGCAACTGTTTCTCATCGGGAAAAAACAACTTACTTTTACTTACCTGAAGTCAATATTCCTCCAATTAGGATAAAGCCTAATGAAATCAAAAAAATTAAAGGTGAGCTTCCTAAATTACCTTGGATTTATTGAAAAGAGTTAAAGCAATCTGACCCGAAACTTGCCCAAGAGGTTAATAAAAATCCTCCTTTATTAAAAATATTTAACTTTTTGGAAAAGAAAAAGTTTCTAACAAAAGAGGAATATAAAGGTTGATTAACTTTTTATCTTAATTATTTGACTTCTTATTTTGGGGAAGGGAACATTGAGTTATTTAGTAAAAAGTGAAAATCTTATCTTAGAACTTTTCTTTATTGAAAAGAAAAAAAGTTAGAAAATGAAGAGATAAAAGCGATAATTAAAGAGTTGATAGAAACTAAAAAGCCCTTTGCAGCGCTAGCAAAAAAATATGAAAAAACCACTAAAGTTAACGAAAATTTATTGGAACAAGAATTAAAAAATTTGTGAAATATTGAATTAGCAACTAGAATCACTACTGACCAACAAAAAGTTCAAAACTATTTACTCGGACAAATAAAAAAAAAGTTCCCTGATTATTCAGTAAAAGAAATTATTATAATTGTTAGTAGGTTCTTAAAGAAAAAGTAAAATTAAAGAATTTCCAGTCGTTTTTATCTACTCGAAAATATTTCCCCTTCTTTAAAAAATAAGTTAATTTCTCTTTCTGCTGCTTCGGGACTATCTGAACCATGAACTGCATTAGCGTTGTCAATACTTTCACCGTAAGTTCTTCTAATAGTTCCTACCTTCGCTTCTAGGGGATTAGTAGCACCCATAATTTCACGATTAAGTTTGATCGCGTTTTCTCCTTCAAGACAAATTATTACCACCGGCGAACTAGACATAAATTTAGTCATTCCTTTAAAAAATGGCTTAGTTTTATGCTCTTGGTAAAAAATTTCGGCTAACTGGGGGGATAAACGAACCATTTTTATTCCGGCTATTCTTAATCCTTTTTTTTCAAAGACATTAATAATTTCTCCAATTTGATTTTTTTTGGTAACATCTGGTTTAATGATGGAAAGAGTTTTTTCAATAGCCATATACATATTATTTTTGTTGAATACATGTTTGTACGCAAACTTTTAAAGCAACTAAACTCCTTAAAAATTAATTTTTCAACAAACCTTTAAAATAACCAAAATATTTGTTATCATTTCCTAATCTTTCAACTCTCTTAAACTTTTTGTCGCTTACTATAAAAAAATAACAAAAAGCATCTCCATATGTGCTGTTTTTACAATTATCCATAAGTGTTTATTAAAATTATCTTCTGTACCAGCTAAATAACTAATTGCTTCTACCACTTTTACTCATGAACTTTGGCCCGTTTTGTTTATTGCTCAATTTCGCACAGGCTCTGAAAAAAGTATTTCCTCTAACCTTGCTCTTTCGATTTCCAAAACTCTACAAGAAGATTTTGCGATCCTTTCTTGAACCATTTTTTTCTGCTCCTCTCATTTTTTTTCAACAATATCTAGTCAGTATGATTTACCCCGAGAAACTAAATTTCTTAATCAACTTTCCTCGCCCATTATTTCCCAATTCATGGCTATAGGATTACTGCGGTACCTTTCTAACAACAATTTGCTAATCGCCATGGTTCAATTAACGCATGTGGTACCACTTTGAGTAGGAGTTCGCATTTCCTGATAATTAGATAAATTTAAATCTTGAAGCAACTTATTGTGTCAACCATTGGAATCGTAGTGACGCCAAGTATCATCTCTTTTCTCGTATACAAGCAAAGAGGAGTGATTAATATCATAAATTTGAAAAAAAGAAACTTGATAATCCTTGATTTTGTCTTGATGATTTTTTAATTCCTTGCTGTAAACTCTTTCCTTTAAGAAAAAAAGGCTGGGAGGCACTTTAGAAAAATCAAAATCATAGAGAAATTTTTCAGCAATGTCGTGAAAATCTCAATGAATATATCTATTATTAATAGCCCAAATTTGCTCTGCTAATAAACTAGATTTATTAGAAAACAACCTATAATTTTCTAATATTCTTTCTCTTTCAATGGGACCAAGATATTCAAGTGGTTCATCTGCAGGTGCTGGTGATGGCGGTGGTGAAGGTTGGGGAGGTAAATCCTCCCATGGAGGAACAGGAAAGGTTGATTTTCTTAAAATATCATTATAAGATAGTTTCTTTGATTGCCTTAAGAGAAGCTTCACTTTTAGCTTCTTTAAGCAATAATTGATAATTACGATTGCTTGCTTCAAGTTGATTTATGGAAACGTTATTTTGTTGCAAAGTGTTTTCAATCAAGGCAATTGCTTGCCGAACTAAATGTTCTTTATCAGTAAACTCTTGAGGAACTGAACTCACCTGGTTTTTTCTTACCAGTAACTGAACCACAATAAAAAAGCAAAAAAATAGTGTTATTCCTCATAAAATCCACTTTTTTGCTTTTTTTAACATAATTAATAACTAATCATATATATATATATATATATATTTAATGCTCTGTTAATGAATGAATTATTTATTAGTGATAAAGAATTTCATTTAATTTACTATTTAATTGTTGAAATCCTCTTTGAAATAAATCAATAGTTTCTCAAAAAAATGCTTCTTGAGGATCTTGAGGTAAATAGAATTTAACATCAATGAGAGCACGAGTTTTGTTTAATGATTCTAAGTATTCTGATCAGAAGTTATCTACTTCTTTAACCAAAAGAAATTTTAGGTATTCTTGTTCTTGGAGAGTAATTTCAACTTTTTGACTTTTTTTTCTTTTGACTATTTTTGTTAAGTCAGAGGCGGTTAGCAACTTATCTCGATAAGAGTAAGTAAACTGTCTTTGCCGAGTAATTAGCAAGTCATAATTAAGGTGATATTGGCGATTAGCCGAATAGACACTACGTAGAGTTTCTTGGGGCTCAAAGATGAGGAAATTAAATATTTTTCCACTTAGCGGGTGACTAAAAAGTTCTTTTAATTGCTGAGAAGTAAAAAATGCTCCTACGCTTTCTTTCACCGAAAAATTCTTTATTAATTCGTCCTCTAAAGAGATATAAAATTGGCTTTTGCCGGGATCTCCTTGCCGCCCAGCTCGGCCCCGTAACTGATTATCTATCCGACGGCTGGTGTTTCTTTCTACCCCAATTACTAGTAATCCTCCCGCTTTTTTGCTTTCTTCGCTTAAAATGATATCGGTTCCTCGTCCAGCCATATTAGTTGAAATGGTGATAGCACCTAACTGACCTGCTTGAGCAATTATTTCAGCCTCTTGTTGGTGATTAACTGCATTTAGTTTGTAATGCGGTATATTTTCTTTATCTAATAAAACTGACAGGTATTCAGAGGTTTCAACACTAGGTGAACCAATTAGGATCGGTTGACGTTTACCTTTTTTATTCTTTTTAATCAGTTTGATAATTGCTTGGTATTTATTCTTTTTGTTTCAAAAAATTAGGTCGTCGCAATCTTTACGGATCAATTTTCGGTAGGGCGGTACTGCGATAACCTCCATGCCGTAAATTTGGCGAAATTCTTCTGATTCAGTGGCAGCGGTACCGGTCATTCCAGCTAGTTTAGTAAAGAGCCGATAAAAGTTTTGATAAGTAATAGTAGCAATAGTTTTACTTTTAGCAGTTACTTGTATTCCTTCCTTACTTTCGATAGCTTGATGAATTCCTGAACTATAAACCCGATTAGGAACCAACCTCCCCGTTAAAGCATCAATTAAAACTAAGCGGTTATTTTCTTTATCTACAATATATTCAACATCTTTTTTGTAAAAATGCTTTGCTTTTAGGGCATTGTGAAGCAAAAAGTTATAACGATGATTAGCAAAAGAAAAAAGACTTTTAATTTGATAGAATTGCTCGCTTTTTTTTTGACCTTTTTTAGTTAGTCAAAGATCTCTTTCTTTTTCATCAACTATGTAATCTTTTTTTTCTTGCAAAGTATTTGCTAACTGTGTGGTTGCTTGATATTCAGAAGGATGAATAATTTCTCCTTGACGAGAGCGCTGAGAAATGATTAAAGGATTTTGGGCTTCATCAATTAAAATTGAGTCCACTTCGTCAATAATAGCATAATAAAAATCTTGTTTATTTTTTTGCTGGATATCGGTTACTAGATTGTTTCGTAAATAATCAAATCCTAATTCACTACTAGTAGTGTATACGACATGGCAATTGTTGTATAACTCGTGTTTTTCCTTTGAAGAAATGTTAGCCGAATTGACACCTGAATTAAGTTTGAAGAAGTCGAGAATTGGCTTGGCTAAACTCCAGTCCCGTTGCGACAAGTATTCATTAACTGTGATAACGAAAACACTTCGACCAGATAAGGCATTAAGACAAATAGGCAAAAAGGCAGTTAAAGTTTTTCCTTCACCAGTATTCATTTGGGCAATATTAGCGTAATGGAGAACTATTCCGCCAAATATTTGAGTAGGAAAAAGCAAAAGCCCAGTTTTTCGATAAATAACCTCTCTTACTAAAGCAAAAACTGGAACCAAATATTTATCTAAAACCTTTTCACGAAATCTTTTCTCAGCGGCTTGGATTTTTTCTCGATAGAAATTGAATTTATTTTGCAACTCAACATCAGTAAGCAACTTAATTTTTTTCCTTAGATTAAGGATTTTATTTCGTAAAGAAACAAACCTTTTTAAGGTGTTTTTTTTTCAAAGTTGATGAAACATAGAATATAGTTAATTTTTAATAACGCGCGGTTAAAATTATTCTCTTTGCGAAAATATTTGTCAAACAAATGCATTTAAAGCATTTATAAAATTATGAACTAATTTATTACGAAATAAACTGGTTAAAATATAAATAAACATATGTCAGAAACAGAAAAACTTTGTTTTGTTTGTCTAAAGTCAAAGAAGAATTGCAAATATGAACCTTGCAAATATGAACCTACAATAATTCGTTATTTTTGCAATGATTGTTTAAGCAATAAAAAACTTTGACCATTGAGATGTCAAGAGTGTAAGGAGAGTGAGAGCGAGGGGATCAAAAAAGGCAAAACTGGCTGAATTCTTTGCTGACAAGGCTCTTTGGAGGATTATACTCCTTTCAACTATCCTACTGATAAGGATAATAGGTTAAAATGTATTGATTGTCTTAATAAATTAAAAAATAAAAAAAACTAATTCTTAAATTTTTTTCGGAACTGATCGATCTGTTTCTTTAATTCAGGATCGTTCAGCATTTCTTTTAATCCTTTCCCTTTCATTTTTTTTGACAACTCTTGCTGCTTTTTAATTTGTTTAAGAAACTCCTTTCAACTTTTAATTCCTAAGGTCTTTTTAAGCATAGTCATGATGTATAAAAAACATAGTCCGAAACCAATGAATATACTAAAAACGACTATAAATAACAATATATATATGTTTATCTGCATGTATCTTATATTATTTATTTTATTTTGTAGAAAAAAGATGGTTAAGTTGGGTTAGAAAATTTTTTTAATTCTTTGAATATTCAGCAACTTATTGTCATCATTAAATTCAAATATAACTCCATTGAATTGTCCTTTATCATCATGAGGTGCCATCTTGGCTGGTAAACCATACTTGGCACGTTGGATGATTATTTCTGGTTTAGCCCCAATGATGCCTCAATAAGGCCCAGTCATACCTAAATCAGTAATAAAACCGGCTCCTTTAGGAAGAATTCGTTCGTCGGCAGTTTGAACGTGAGTGTGAGTTCCTCACAAAGCATTAATTTCTCCATCATAGTGTCAAACTAAAGCGATTTTTTCAGCAGTGGTTTCGGCGTGAAAATCGACTAAATGAAGATCATAGTCTTTGTTTTTAAGCAATTTTTCTAGGACAAAATAAGGATTTTCTGCGTAAATTGGCATAAAATTGGTTCCCAATAAGTTAGTAACACGAATTTTTTTACCCTTCACATTTATTAGAACAGTTCCAGAGCCGGGATGATAAGGGTTAGAATTTAGGGGACGGAGCAAATCTGAAACTTCATTTATATACCTCTTAGTTTCCTCAAGAGCAAAAATATGATTCCCAGAAGTCATAACATCAATTCCATAACTTTTTAACTCATGATAATGCCTACGAGAAATCCCTTTGCCATGAGTAGCGTTTTCAACATTAGCAACAACCAAATCTATTTCATACTCTTTTTTCAACTTAGGAAGATAATCTCTAATGACTTGTCGACCAGTTTTACCAAATATATCGCCAATGGCTAGAATTTTCATATATCTATTTTTTTGAGAAATTTGCCTTCTAGAAAAACTATTTTATTATTATACCTACTTTATACTTTTCCTTTTTCTAACAAAGAAAATAAGAAGTAAACCAAGCGGGATTAAATATATAATAATGAACGTTTCTCGCCTGACTAAAACTAAAATATTTTTTCTTCTTGGTCTATTAACCATAACAATTTTAGGAACCCTTTTCTTATTTCAAGTTTCGCCCAATAACACCCATCAATCGCCTTCTTCAGAAAGTTTAGACACAAAGCGGCAACAAATTCTTACAAAAATTCAAAACCAGTTAACTGCAAACAACCTTAATGAAAATAAATTGTGTCAAAAATTGGAAGAAAAATATCCCACTATTATTGATTTAAAGAATTATTTACAAACTGCCAACTCCCTAGAAAAATTAAATACTCTTTATCAAGAAATTCAAAATGCTATCACTTACTTAGTTCAACCTCCTCCTTCCCCAAATCCGCCTCCTTTTCCGCCAACTCCACCAACCCCTCCTAATCATAAATGAGAAAAAGTTTTACTAGAAATTAAAAACTTTCTAAATACTAATCCTACTTCAACCCAAATTGAAAAGTGGGGAATTAACAAAAAAAATGAAATTGGGGATCCATTAGCAGGAATCGATTTGAATGGAGCAAGCAGATCGGTATTATTAGGTCTTAGCCGTAGTCACGGCGAAAAGGAAGTTGCCAGTCGAGCCCTAAGCAAGGCTGAAATATGAAAAAATAACTACATTTCTCTAGACTCAGCAGGAGATGGAAATTGTTTTTTAAATTCTTTTGCCGTTCTTTTGACCGGTAGTCAAGAAAGAGACGCCACCAAAGAAAAACCCAACACTCAGGAAAATGTGGCTACTCGGCTGAGAGTAGCAATATGTCTAGAAATAATGAAAGACTACGATCCAAGTGAATCGAAGGACTTAAAGGAATTTGCTGATAATCATTATGCTTTGGTTACTGATCATTGTCGGTTCATGTGAAAGATTCTTAAAAGACCGGTCTATGTAGTTCATAAGGATAGCGAATCATATGCCTTGGGTAAATCTCCTGACACGGGAGGTATCATTATGTCACCATATGATGACGGAAAGCAGGGTAGAACACTTCCCTATAAAGAGCCCTTTGTAGTTTATCACGTTGGAAGTTTTCACTTTGAACCATTAGTTTGTAAAAAAGAAGGAGGAACAATTAACTTTAATTACTCACAGTGAGAAACTGAGGATGAGAACAATTCCACCAACCAGCGCTCAATTGTCTTTACAGTAAACCCCGGAACTTTAAAAAGCAAACCCTGTTCAGCAACTTCTGCCAATAATCTCACAAAAACAAAAGTCCGAGCTTTGCACAACCAAAACGATGACTACACCAAGCATCAGTTTGAAGGCATAAAATTAGAAAACTCCGAAACCGACGGAACAAAAAAAACAAATAGAAACATTATTATTGATATCGTAGAAATTAGTAAAATTTTAGAAAACGGAAACGAAATTATTATTGATTATAAAAACTTTTACAAGGCTTCGTTAGTTACATAAAACAAGCATATTATAACAGAAAATAAACAAATCATTCTCGATAGTTGAGGAAGCGATTATCGAGAAGGAACAACAAGTAATAAAAACAGCAATTACTCGACAAGAATTTATAATTCTCACGAGTTCATCTTTTCTTGCGTGATCAATTCCCTAGTAGCACTAGTGCTTATCTACGTTTCGAAATATTTTTAACTATTGATTTTCTTTTCAAATTTCATACTCATTTCTTAATTCATCAAGGTTCACATTATCTTTAAGTCATTGAGGCTCTGCATAATACCAGCGTCTATTGTCACCAGATGGAAACTGCATTGTCTTTACAAGGAGAATTCAACGAGCAAAGTCACTTTCATTAGGTTTCAAAATTTCTAACCAATCTTTAATTTCGTGATAAGTAAGAAAGAAAGGAACTACTATCATTCGGTGTTTTTTAGTCATTGGATATTCTTTTCTCATTGTTAAAAATTTGTTTTCTTACAATTTTCTGCTCAACTTAAGAAAAATTCTAAAAAAATATTTTTCTAGTTAGTAGGAGGATCTTCCTTTTTACTATGATCCTCATGACAAAATAATTGACTAAATTTAGTTCGATCAAATATCACCATGTACGCTAAAGAAAATATTATAACCAATAAGAGGATTCTTATCGCAGTCGCAAAAATTCGCTCTATGATATAAGAAAGGACATATATTATAAAGATAGTCAACATGAAAGCAAGCAAATGATGAGCCTGTATTTTATTTGTATCTTCAAACAAAAATTTCCACCCTTCCTTTACTCACTCTTTAAGTTTATTCAAGTATTCTCCAAAATTTCCCATCTTATTTAATTAACAGTTTTTATTTTTGATGAATTCTAATAATTCTCATTAAATATATAAAACTACTTATAACAACTATAATTATTTTTAAAAAACTTGTCAGAAAACAATAACATTTACCAATTTATTAAAAAATTAGCGGAACGAGAAGGAGTAACAGAAGAAAAGATAAAAGAAATAATTATTGATTCCTTTCGGAGTTCCTATTGCCAAGGAGAAAATGCCAAAGCTGAATTACACTTTGAATTCGATTCTGGATTGTCAGTTTACCGCTGCTATAAAATAGCAGAAGTTATTAAGGAACCTGAAAAAGAAATAGCCAAAAATAATGAATTATTAAAAAAAGGAAAGATAAAAAATAATATTTTTTTTCTTCCTCTCGATATTAAAAATCTATCCTTTCTTCTTAATCAAGAAATTAGTAATCGCTTGCGCAAAGACATTGAAAAAATCGGCTGAGAAAGGCAATCTGAAACTGAGGCAGAACTTTATGATTTATACAAACCCCAACAAGGAAAAATAATAAGGGGTTGGCTTAGAAGCACTCAAGAAAAAACATATTATTCAATTTCTCTAGGAAAAGGGACTGGTTATTGGAGAAAATCTGAATGAACCTCACGCAAAGAACCAAAACTAGGACAATATTTCTATTTCCTTATTGAAGAAGTAAAAGAAAAATCGACAAAGGAAACGCCACAAATCATCTTAACTCGCTCAAATGAACTATTTATCCAGCGCATACTAGAACAAGAAATATTAGAAATAAAAAAGGGTATTATAATTATTCGCCACATTTTACGTTTACCAGGTTTAGTAAGCAAAGTAATAGTAGAAAGTACAGATCCTAAACTTAACTTAAAAGGAACTTGTATTGGTCAAGGAGGTCTCAGAATAAAAAGTATTTCCTCATTGATTAATCCTGACATTTACCATCACGAGCGAATAGATATAGCAGCCTGAAGCAAAGACAAACCAAAATTGTTGTTAGAGTTAGTTTCTCCAGTTGAACCAACTAAACTGATTATCACAAAAGAAGGAAAATGAGAAATCATTGTGCCACAAGAAAAAGTCTCTCTTCTCCTGCAAGATAAAGGAAAACTACTAAAAAAAATTAGTGAGTACCTAAAAGTAAATATTCATGTAACAATCTTGGAAGAAAATGAAAAAAGCGGCTCTCTAGCAAACAAAGGACAAATCTTGCAAGAAGTTGGTCGCTATAAAAACATTGAAGTACAAATAGTGGAGGAATTAGAAAAATAAAATTTCAATATGAAAGAAATTCATAATGGGAACAACGATCTGTTCTTGAAAATTGTTCGCCAAAGAACTTCCGCTAAGTATAATTATTTCAAAAACAATTGTCTCTATCTTTCGACAGAAAATATATCAATAACTGAATTAGGAGAAACATTGCGGAAACAAGTCAGTGAAATTATCGCTTTTTTTTGAAATAAAGGACAGATTATAAGTAAAAATCAAACTCTCTCTTTTGACCTGTTAAAAGACTACTGTAAAAGCATAAACATAGAAATAAAAAGAGTTATCGGAATAAATTTTAACGAAATCGTTAACGAATATTTACAAAAATTGGGCAAAGATAACAGTCAATTAGTTGAACGTCCTCCCATTGTTAGCATCATGGGCCATATCGATCATGGCAAAACAACGTTGCTTGATACTATCTGTCAGACTAATCTTCAAACAAAGGAAATCGGAGGAATAACCCAGAAAATTACTGCTTCACAAATAGACTTCCAGAATAAAAAAATTACCTTTTTAGATACTCCTGGTCATAGCGATTTTATCAAAATGAGGCAGCGAGGAATCTCTTTAACTGATATAGTAGTGTTAGTAATTGACGCGGGAGATGGAATAATGTTCCAAACAGAAGAGATTATTGATTATCTTCATCAGTATCAAATACCAGTCATTGTTTTCATTAATCACAAAAAACCTGAAAACACCGACAACGAAACCAACTTAAATAAGATCAGAGCTCAATTGCAAGAAAAAGGCCTAACCCCCCTAGAGTGAGAAGGAGAAACTATAACCATTTCCGGAAGTGCTAAAAAAAGAGAAAGTGTTGAATACTTGTTAGAAAACATTTTGCTGGTGGCTGATTGTAAATCTAACTTGTCACATCCAACTAACGGAGTAGTAATTGATCACTATCTTCACTCAAAAACCGGTTCCGGGATAACCGAGTTGCTGGTTCAAGATGGCAAACTCAGAGAAAAAGACACTATTTTTCTTAACGGAAAACTTAGCAAAGTAAAAATTATATATAACTTACACGGCAAAAAAATAGCAATGGCTCTTCCGAGTGACCCAGTCCAAATTATTGGCTTAAACTCCCCAACCGAATTAGGAGATAGATTTTTGGTAATAAACAACGAGGATACCATAAAATCTCTTGAAAAAGAATTAACTCCTTATCTAGAAAAAGAAAATAAAATTTCTCCTCCGCCCGTTACTAAAGAGAAAAAAAATATTAACTTAGTGTTGCTGGCTGATAGCCAAAACGGGCTTGAAACTCTCACCGAACTGATAAAAAAAAAAAATTCTTCTGAGGACAGTTTTTGGATAATTCATCGGGTAACAGGAAAACTGAATGATTCATCCATTGACTTAATTAAACTTACTAACAGTTTGGTCTTATCTTTTGGCCTGCAACTTAGTCAAGAACAAAAAAAAACTTTCAAGGAAAATGGCATCCCTTTTTTTTTCAGCAAAATGCTCCACGAAATTGCTGAAAAATTAGAAGAAACTATTGGCAACCAACAAAAAACAGAAGAAGTAGAGGAAGAAGCAGGAAAAGCAGAAATAATAGTAGTTATTGAACGTTCGAAAGGCAATATTGCGGGATGTCAAGTAACTAACGGAAAAATTAGCCGCAACCATCAAATTAAAGTTGTGAGGAGAGAAAAAGAAATCTTCCGAGGAGGGATCAAAAGTCTACAAATTAATAATGAAGACAAACTGGAAGCGATGAAAGGTCACGAGTGCGGAATTATTCTTAATGGATTTAGTGAATTTCTCACGGGAGATAAAATAATCGCTTTTCAAACAATAAAAAAAAATGTTAGCCATTTCTAAATTTTTTTTGCAAAGGAAAGAAAACCTGTACAAACAAGAAATCAGCCGCATTTTGCATAAAATTATTCAAGAAAATCATCTTTCTTCTTTCTCACTAAGTTATTGTCTTTTAAAAGGAGGAGAAAATTTAAAGATTTACTTGAACTTCGCAAGCAAAGAAGGGAAGGAAGAAATATTAAAGTTAATGAACAAAAAATACTCCTTAATGGTAAAAAAAGAAATTGCTAAAGGGAAAAAATTCGCTTCTGTTCCCAACCTTCAATTCTTTTTAGATGAAAGACTAGAATCAATAAATTTTCTTGAAGAAACCATTCAAAAGATCAAACAAAAAAAATGCCAAACAGCGAGTTAATCAAATTTTTACCTATATTTCTTTTTGTCTTTCTCCTACTACTTTCTTCTTTCTTAAACTATACTTCGGCTTTATATTCTGAAGCAGATTTATTCAAGGTAGATTTAACTAAGGGAAGAAAAACTAAAAAAATAAAAAAACTACTTTTTGTTTTAAAAAACGGTCAATTGCTCTCAGCAACCGTTAGTTTATGACAAATATTTCTCAACTTTTCTATGTCACTAGTGATTTCAAAAATGGCAAGTGAAAACATAGAAATTTTGGAGAATACTTGAATAGGAGAAAGAGGCTTATTTCTTTTAGTAAGTTTATTTATTGCTATCTTCGCAGAAATATTTGTGCGCTTTTTAGCTACAAAAAAGTTTAGTAAAAGAGCAATCCTTAATCAATTTTTTATAAATAATGCTTACCTTTTAAGCATCCTGAGTCCTTTTCGATTAATAATTAAACCTAGAAAAAGAGTTTTTGTTAACTCGGAAAAAGATGTTTCTCTTTTTGTTAGCAACCTAGCCGCTGAAGAAATTTTAGAAAAAAAAGAAGCCACCCTTATCAGAGCCGCTCTCAATTTTGACGAAATTAAAGTCCGGCAAATCTTCAAAAAATGAGAGAAAATAATTTGTCTTGAAAAAAGCATGAGTAATGAAGCATTAAAAAAAATTTATTTAAATTGCCTCTTTGATCGCTATCCGGTAATTGACAAAAAAAAACAATTAGTTGGTATTTTCAGCATGAAAAGGTTCTCTCGAGAATTATTAAAAAACAAAAATGCTATTTGAAAAGATTACATTGACAAAGAATTTGTTACTGCCCGACCACATGAAAGACTAAACAAAGTTTTTGAAAGATTGCAAAATAATTATCGTCACCTCGCAATCGTCAAAAGTAATCAGAACATTTTAGGGGTCATCACCTTGCAAGACATTCTTAATGCCTTAGTTGGAAAAATGAAAGATGAAAAAGACAAACTTGAGTTAAGTAATTCTCTTAATTCGAGCACTAATTAATTCCTTAGTCCTTAAACAATCTTCTCATGAATTAAACTCATTAAATAAACAATAATGGAGAAAATTTTTTTCAGCAGACTCTTTGATTTTGTCCTCGCAGAATTGAATATACTTAACTACTTTTTGATGTTGTTGAGCAAAATCATCAATTTCTGAATCCTTTTCTAAGTAACTCTTGTTGAGAAAATTAGGACTATCCTCAATATAACTATAATCTCCTAAGTTAACCAATTTATTATTAGCAATGGCCCAACTTTCTTGATAATAATAATAATGACAGTAATTTACTACTCTTTTACCAATAGAATTTACTTGAGTTCAAAAATCACCAAATTCCTTAATCCTTGCAAAGATAACCTCTCGAGCAAATCACAAAAAAATGAACCAGTGAAGAATATCAGAAGTTGAATCAGGTGCCAGTAACATGTCTATTATTTTTTTGATAGCAGGAGAAGTGTCAATCAATTCTTTAAAAGACCTAGCAAAACCAGTTGGTGAACCTGAATTAACTCTTTTTCAAAAACCGCTCGTTTGACTAATAATAAAAGGGAGAACTAAGACAACTATAGTTGAATAAATAAAGATCTTGCGAATATGTTGATTTTGCCAGGAAAAAAACTTTTCAGTTTGGGGGCTTTTTAACTTCTTTTCTCCAGGAAAGTCCAACTCCCGACTATTAAAAATAATAAATATTAAAGCAAGAATAACGGTAAAAGCGCTGACAAAAGAAAAAGTTAACAAAAAAGCACTAGCAATATGAACCAAAGTATTAATAACAAACACTCATTTACTATGTAAGTAAAAGTTATTGTTTTCAATATATCGATCCTTTTTTCAAAGGTAGTTATTATATAATAAAGAAATAAAATTTAAACTGATTATTATGATAATAAAATAAAGAGCATAATTTAACAATCCGCACTTTTCTTCGAGGCCACCTCCAATAAAGTATTGCCTAAATTTTCAATCTTTTCCAAAGAACTGGCTGATTTTTCCTAAAATATCTACCTCTGCATACTGCTTACCCAACCCAACAAATAAAAGGGCAAAAATAACTCAATAAAAAGTGCTAAGCAAACCGCGTCAAAGAAAAAATCGAGGATAATGAGATAAAATTTCCTTCTTTTTGCTAGTCATAATGAACTTAAATTATTTGGTAATTATATACTATTTTACACTAATTACCTCGCTTTCTTGTCCTCCTTCCATTCTATAAGGAAAGTAAGTTTACTAAAGCACTAAATATTCTATCAAGGTCATCTCCTTGATTTTTTTGTTTCAAAGTAATCACAAAGAAAGAAGTTTAAACTTAGAGAGTTTTTAAGACAATCCCTCTTTTTAAAGGCTATTTAAAGATTAACTTTTTTTTTAAAAAACTAAACTTCAGTCTTTTCATCCTCTTGACCAGGTAATAATTTTTTATCTCTCAACACTATTCAAACTAAGACTAGCAGAATTAGCGCTGCAAAAGTTCCTAAGCCAATATTTACATAATAAGCAAAATTTAATTTACTTTGTAATTCGTTAAATCTACCACTAATCAATTTATCCTTGGAAATTTCCACATCTCGCGCACTAGCAGCACTCTCCAACTTATCAATTTCTCCTTTAGAAACCCCTCAAGTTTCAAGGTTATTCTTAGAAATATTTATCAAAGACCCTTTGGAGAGAGAAGAGGCACCTCGATCCTTTAATTTTCTTATTTCATCGATAATTTGTTGCTGAGTAATGTTAGTCCCTCTTAAACCTAATTCAACTATTACGGCCTCCACAATTTTTTTTGTAGGAGAATCGGGATTTTCAGCGCCTTTAACTACTAAATCCTCTTTAAGTTTAGCAACATTTACTACTTGCTTACCAGTGCCAGGATCTATTGTCATCGGTAAATTACCACTCCCACCTAAAATTTCATCGCTAACTTTTTCCACAGCTTCTAACCTCTCTAATTCATCCGTAGTAGTAAGATTAAAACCCTCACTACCGCCCATATTAATTTCCCTAATTGGATTATCAAAGTCTTTTACTCCTTTTATCGTCCTAATTTTGCCAAGGTCATTAACAAATAGCCCTTCCAAACTTGTACAGTTTTTGAGGTTAATTTCTTCAAAACTCGGTTTGCCCGAATAACCACTAATTTTCACTACCTTTACCTTATTACCAGCATTTTCTCCATTAATTATTGTAGTTTTTTCAAGGTTAAAACTAACTAAATTTCTATTATTGCTGACATTAATATTACTCAAATTTGGGCAACTTTCAACAGTTACGCTAGTTAAACCGTGATTTCTAAGAATAACATCAGTCAAATTAGGAAAATCTTTAATAATCAAATCACCTATCAAGTTGTTTAAACTATGATCGACCTCAATTTTTGTTACACTTTTCGCAAAAACTGCTGGATTGTCTATATATGTTTGTGCTTGTTTGTCTGCCATTTTACTCTTAAAATTATTATATTACTATTTTAGTATGTCCCCAACCGTTAACTCTTCTTTTAGTTTTAGTTCCTCAAAGAATTGAGGGAGATTATTTTTATCCTGTGGCTTCATATACAACTTTACTTAACTGCATTATTAAAATCCTGCATGATTACAGCATACTGCTCCTCTGATTTTTCATCCTCTATAAATTCCAACAATCATTTTATTTTCTTTTCTAAGTTGCTGTAATTATTTAATTTCTGCTGTTGTTCAGAGGTAAGAGTAGCACCTGTTCCTGAACCGCTGGTTGCTGGCTTAGAATCCACAACTTTTTTCACGTCGGATGGAGATTTACCTGGAAAGGTATTTTTTCAACTGTTCAATTCATTTTTATTAGCATCGTAATCTGCTGGTTTCTGATTAGCTGCTAAACCTGGTATCCTAGCTAATTCACTCTTTCAATTAGGGGGCAAGTCAGAGGGTTTTTGATTATTTTTTAGATTATTTAAATCTGTTTGATTAACTACTGTCTTACCTTGATCATTGGCTGCTTTTTCCAAAGCGTTGCCATCCTTAGGGTCAATAAATCCAGCATTCTTAGCAGCATTTTCTAATTTACCTTTGTCAGTCGGATTATTTGGATTAATATAACCTTTGTACTTATCAGCTTCAGTTTTAACTGCTTCATCTACCAAATTTTTTAAATTAAGTCCGGTGGTATCTAACAAGTTAACAAACTTTAATTTAGTTAAACCCTCTACTGCTTTTTCGAGTTCTTGTGAATTAATAGGATTACGAGCAATGTTCAAATTCTCTAGATTAGGTATCTTGCTAAGATCAATTTTTCTTAACTGATTATCTTGCACTTCTAGGTGGGTTAAATTAGGAAAATTACCTTGAAAAATTATCTCAGTAATCTCATTTTTTCCTAATACAACTCTTTCCAATGCCTGACAATTGTTAATTGTTACCTTACTTATTTTTCCTTTTGTCAAAGAACGATTTTCTAAACGAACAAGGATAATTTCCTTAGTATTAGTATAGTCTTCAATTATTATTTCACCACTTAATTCTTCAGAAGTAAGCAAATGTATATTATCCCCGCTTTGCTTGTTGTTATATTTGCTATTTAGTCATTGTTGTGCTTGCTGTGTCATGGTTTTTTTTGCTATCTATTAGTAGTAGGTATTTCTATTTTCATTTCTCAATGAGTCTTATAATTTTCGCCAAAAATTTCTCTTACCATCATTTCCAATCGTCAATTTTTTTCTTGCAAGTCAGCTATCTGTGTTCCTATATCTGCAGGGTTCAAACCTGAATTTTGCACTGCATCATGAGTATTTTTTAATTCTTTAGCATGTTGTTCCGCATTTGGATCAGTAGGATTTATTCCTGCTTCGTTTAATAACTTGATTAAATTAGTTAGTGCCGCTTGATCAATTTCCTTTCCATCCGAACTTTTAACTGGACCATTCTCTTTTTTATCTACTAAATCCTGATATTTCTTACCTTTTCCAGCATTATCCTTGATTTTTGCTAACTCATTATCATCAACTTTCCCTCTCCATCAAAAAGTCCCTCTAGACCAGTATTTGGATCAGTAAGTTTTTTCTTGTTAGAATTAATTTTGACTATCTCATCCTCAACAAGTTTCTTAACATTTTGACTGGTCGTAGTATCTAGATTTAATTGTTTAGCCACTTCTTCCCACTCGCCTTTACTTAATTCTTCCAAAATATTAGAAATCGGGAAAGTGCCATCACTATTTCAAGTAACTAAATTAAGAAGATTTTTTAAGGATTTAAATCCACCTGTAAACTTAAAATTTGGATTTTTGCGAAAATAAAGAACTTTTAAAGTATTATTATTACTAACATCAATCTCTTCTATTTGGTTTTCACTAATATTTAATTCTTCTAACTTAGTCAGTAACTCAATTCCCTCAATTTTCTTAATCTCATTCCCCCAAACAGAAATCACTTTTATTTCAGGGCAACTAATAATAGTCAATTTAGTTATTCCTTTAGTAGAAGGTAAAGATATTATCTCTAAATTGAGATAGTTTTCAATTTTTAACTCTCCTTGTAATTCTGTTCCTGCTTTAATTACTATTGCTTTACTGTTTGTTTCATTTTCATATTTTTCTTTAAACCATGCTTGTGCGTCTACCATTTTTGTAAATTTATATTTCTGCTATTTTATTTATTGTTTATTATTCTAGTGGTTTTTTGTACTTCTATTTGGGCTTGTAATGCTTGATATTGTTTTGCAAGTTCACTGACTCTTTCATCTCCCTCCGAACCTCTTAAATGATCTTTCATTCATCTATCTTTATTAACTTCTTCTTCATATAGATATTCTCTTAAGGTTTTTCAAACCTCATAATAATCTCGATTCTCGTCATACTTCACTTTATCATTTTCAAGTACTCCTTTACCTCATTTTTTATCTAAATCTTGATAACCTTTAAGGGTGTCCTTTGCTATCGCTGTCTTAATTTCAGGTAACATCTCCTTGGCCACTGTCTTTCCAAATCCTTGCTTATTATCCTCTTTAGTTCCCTCATAAAACATCAAAGCCATAGCATATTCTGTAAGATCTGTGTTATTTTTTTGTTCAACCAAAGAAATCCATTTTTCTCACTTAAACTCAACACCCATTAAATGCTTCTTAATTTTTTCTTCTGTCGTATTTTCAGGCATTAGTTCAACCTTCTTTACTTGTAATTTTCATTTAATTTGTTGTTTAGCACTAGGAGAAAAGTCAGTACCATCAATAGCCTCTTCACTAGGTAACTCTCCCAGTTTAGTTTTACTAGAAATTTTCTCTTCAATTCAGTCAGCAATCTTTCTTTCTTCCATTATTTCTCTCACCACTTTCTCTAAACTTTGCTTATCAGAAGCCCGATCAATCCTAGATTTTTCTTGGTTAGTTAAATTCCAAATATTACCATCAAAATCTTCTTTTTGATACTTTTCCTTGGCATTCTTTAAATCAGCAGCAACTGTTTCTTCCTTCTCTGCTATTAATTTATCCCACTTAGCTAGATTTGCATTTATTTTTTTGCTTAAATTGTCTAACTCAGTTTTTTCGAATACGTTACTCCAAGAATCGTACAGATCAGTAAACATTTCTTCTCTAAGAGTATCCAAGTCTTTTAGATCAAAATTTTCTAAAGTTAAATTTTTGTTTTTTAAACTTTCTCCAATGTATTCAGAAAATCATCCTAAATAGAATTTGTCATTAAGCTCTACTGTATAAGCAATCTCACTCGCTCTATAATCAGGGAAACTCTTTATTAACTTATCTATTGATTGAGTTTTTAAATACTTTTTAAACTCACTGTCCGAATCCTCGACAGAAAACATTTTTTTCAATTTTGCTTCAGCCTCTGCTCCAACCTTTTCAATTATGTTTTTTTCAAGAGTAAAACGTTCGATAAATACTAACCAATCTTTTTGGTCAGTTTCGTTCGAAAGCTCATCTCATTCTTTTTTAACTTCTTCACTCCAAACTCCTGCTATCTCAACTTTGACAGTAGGATATTCTTTTTCCAATCATTCTAAGTAGTCTTTAAACTCTTTTTTAATATCTTTACTTTCTAAAATTTCAAAAATAGTTCTCTCCTCAGACAAACTTTTAGCACTCGTTAGAGCCGTTGTCTGCGCAGAAATTCCCCTTACCTTAATATTTACACTTCTTTTAGTTATTTTAAGTCTGTTTATCAACTTATCTAAATCTCCTTTATATTCTTTTCACTTATCAATGGCACTTAAATAAAAATAACTTTTTTCTTCACCAACTGGTGGGTTTGCTTCTACTTTTCTCCAATTCTCTTCAATTCCTTTAAGAATTGCTAAAGCTTTAGATCCAGGTTTTTCTGACCCTTCTATTGATCATCTCTTAATAAACTTTTTCGTGGAGCAAATGCAAATTATCGTTTCAAGTTCCCTTCTCACACTTTTCTCATTATTTAAGGTTAGTCTTTTATCGATAGCCTTTTCATAGTCAAAATTGTCACCAAATATTTTTTTATCAAATTCTTCATTAATATCAACAGGAGTAAGTTCTACTTTCTGACGAAAAAGGCTTAGGTCTCTTTTTATTTCTCTTCGTTTAATTTCTAAAAGCTCTCCTAACTTTACTTTAACATCACCTAAACTTTTTTCATCCAAATTTTTTCCAAAATCATCTCCAAAATTACTATTTCAGTATTTAGTTAAATTATTTCAATTATCTAATTGTGAATTTACTTGTCTGGAGTCTAATCCAACAAAAGTATCAGTCCATTTTTTTAACTCCCTAGCCGATTCATCTAACCTTTCTCTTACAGCCTTTAAACTTTTATCTGATAAAGGTTTTAGTTCAAAATCGTTAAAAAAGTCTTTATTTCACTCGTCCACTAATCTTTTATAAGCTTCGTGCGCCTCAGTAAGGTTTTTGGCCATTAATTTATCCCCAAACTCTTTTTTAAAATACTCATCTTTGTCTCACTCGTTAACTAGTTCTTTAAATGCATCCTGATCTTCTTCAGCCTGGTTGCTCTTCTCATCCATCATTTTTAAGAAAGTATATAAATACTCTCAATAGATAACCTGTAATTGAGGAGCCTCATCACTTATTGAATTTCCACAATTCACCATTTCCCTATCGCTATACATTAAGAAAATAGACTTCAACATTTCCATTTTTTCGGTGTCTCCTTTAGTCTTATAAGAAACAAAAAACGGGTCGGTCAATATAGCATCTTTTTGGTTTTTATATCTCGTCTCTAATTCAGGAAAAGAGGTCGACTTAAAGTCTTTAGTTATCATTTCTTTTCATCTATTATTTATAGCATCCATTAATTCCTCTGTCGGATTTTTTTGGAATCTTGTTTCGAGTGGATCAACTTCCTTACCTGATGGCTGCTTAACTTTCCCAGTATTTTCACCGGTTTGAATAATTGGATAACGAGGGAGAGTTTCTTCATTTCAACCATTCTTTCACATTTTAAAAACCTCCTCCCCTGTATAATAATCTTCTGCCTTAGGAGTTATTCCCTCAGAAACTGGTCTTTTTAACTTCTGACCATATATTTCTCTAAATATTTTGAAATCATTTTTTTGCAACTTGTCAGGTACACTTATTCCCTCCTTTTTAGCAGCAGCAAGAAATCTACTAATAAGCGTTGCATCAATCTTATTAAGACCCTTGTCTACTTGTTCTTTTAACTTACGAGGATTTTTTACCAATTCACTTTTATCAGTATAGCCTAATTGATCCCACTTAGATTTTTCTCGGCTAATAATCTTCAATACGTTTTCATCACTTTCAACCGAATAATAATTATAATTATCTTCCACTTTATAATTAACAGAGAACTCTATTTCTTTGTCTAGATAACTAATAAAGTAATAAAACAAATCAGCATTATCACTTTTCTCCGCTGCTTCATAATCTTGATTTCCACTTTTGGCGGGGGAAGGAAGAATCCACACATAATTATCATTCGTATCCGCAAAATTCTTTACTAAATTTTCTTTAAAAAACACAGCATAATGAGCTTTAGCAGCATCAGAAATTAGTAAATTTTCCTTATCAGTAGTGGCCGCCGTAGCTTCTTTTCATAATATTTTATCAACGGTTAACTTAACTTTTGTATTTATTGCTCCTTTTTGAAGTTTGTATAATTCATATACTGCCATATTTTCTTAAATTTTTGTTATTTTCCAATCAAAAGCAATTAAGCAAAGTTATATTTAAGAAGTGATTGGTATTAAAATGAAAATGATTATCTAATTAATTCATTTAAATTGAACTAAATAGTTAATCAAATATTATTCTTCTTAAATATCTTTTTCGGTTCCTCCATAGGCATTTACTAATTAATATATCTGAATATTGTCTTGTGTTTTTAGTTTTTAATTCAGCGCAGGGTTTTTCTTAAATCTTAGAAGTAGAAGGGAGAAAAAACTCCCTTTCTATACAAAATTCAACTAAACTTCTTATCTTTTTTAGATCTACACTACTTTTTATTTGAGATCTACTCTCTTAATTCAACTAAATTTCTAGTTTCATTTTTATCAATTTCTTGAAGAGTAACTAATTCAGCTCGCGCATTATTAAGTTCAGTTTGTAATCTCTTAATTCTATCTGATGCGTTTTGATAATCAGTTTGTGATGGTCTATTTTTTAATTCTTGTAATTTAATGTTATCTAAATTACCATCTTTATCAAATATTTCCGGGAAAGATTGAGTTAAGACTTTTATTATAGTTCCTTTATTAGTTAAGTCATTTTTTAAACTCAATAGTTCATTAACAATATCCTCACTAGTTATATTGTCACAATCTTTTTTTAATTGGTTTTGTTGCCGAATTCTTACAGCATCAGGTCAATCAGAGGAATTTCAATCATACACATAATTATTTGCCCCTTGGTCTTTTTTATCATCTCCCATGTTGTATTGTTCTCCTTTTTTAATCTTATTCAACAATATTTCTATAAGCCCCATGGCAGAATAACCACTAATTTCTATATCATTGTTAGGATTGGTATTCCCCCACCCCAACAAGTATGCTACTTTCAATCCTATTGGATTTAAGAAATTATTAATTTCTTGGGCAGTTGTATTTCTCCAATCATCACCATTAACAAAAACATATAAAACTGCTTTTTGTCTCTCTCGGTTAATAAACAGCACTGAATATTCCCCTTTATGTTGAGACTGATAAAAAAGTATTGATTGAGGATATTGCTTCCATTTTTCTAATAGTTCTTTTTTAGAAGCAGTTAATAATACTTTATCTTTTAACTCCTCCTTTAATTGTTGAATATTTTTATTCCTTTGTAGTAAAAGGAACATTTTGGAATTTCCTGATTGGGCTACATCTTTTTCTAATCGTGACTTATCAGTTTGCAATTTAACTAAATCGGTTTGAGCCTTTTGCAAGTCAGCATCATATACTTCTCCATTATAAGCACCAAGGCAATTTAGAGACCAACCAATCTTGGAAAAGAAACAAGCAGGGACTGAGATACTAAATTCAGTTCCATCTTGGGTTCCTCTGGCGCCAGTCCATACTGAGTAATTGCTATTGATATAACAAGAGTGAAATTCTAATCTCTTCACCATGGTTGCTCCACCATAATTTCCATATCAACCTTTCATTCATAACATATAATCACTTTCAAAAGTTCAAGGGTCTCCACTCCCTCCACCTCCTCCGTGTCTATGACCTTCAACATCAATTTTCTTATCCTTGGTTTCTACTAAATAAGTGAATTGAACACTATCAATAACATCTCCTCCTTTAAGAACAATTTTCTTAACTTTGATATTAGTGATTGTTTCAGCACATTTATCTTTACTAATATTCAAAGTAGTTGCAACTTTATCCAAGTCATCCAAATATGTCCCACTATTATTTCCATAATATTGAGTATACTTATCAGTTCCAAGTAATTTTACTTTTCAATTAAATGTCATAATGTTATTTATTTATTTAAATATTTTCCTCTAAATATTGCTGCTAAGGAGTAATTAAATTTGGTTGAATATTCTTTTAAATTTTTTAGTAGTTCTTTTGTGTTTTTCATAATTAAAAATTACTTGTTTTTATTTAAAATCACTACTTAAGCAATTAAGTTAATTATATCTAACTAGGTAGTGAATTAAGAAATTATGCTAGTTAGATATTTGCTAGGTTTCTCCATAGGCAATTTAATTTGACAATTATAACAATATAGAGGAAATAAAACTATTTCTCTACACTACTATTTATTTCTATATATTATAATTTTATAATTTACTAGTATTTAAATTTTAAAATAACAACGATTAAATAAATTTTTCTTTACCTAATATTTTTTGCCTCCAGCCGAGAAAAATTAACTTCTCAACAAATTTCTCGAACTAAAATGTTTTTTGCTTTCCGATTAGTTAATAATCTTTCCAAGTGTTTAATCTGCTCTAAATAACCCTTAATTCCTTTGTTTATTTCTTGCGGTTTTTTATTACCAAAAAGGTTAATCCAAGTTCGTAAGTATATCAATCGCACTGATATTATTACTCACACGACAATATTAAAAATTTATTGAAAAATTCCCAAAAACTAGGACAAGAAATTAAACAATTTAAGAACCGGTAATACTATTTATACCAGTCCTTCTTCCGGAGTAACTCACTATTTAGCCCTTTACAGTGCTTTACACAAGTTTCCCTTACCAAGAAATTTAACTTCTATAGCAACTATCGAAGGAAGCAAAGTAGGAGCGATCGGCGGACTACGATATAAACTATAAGCAGCGGTTAATAAAGATAAACCCATAAATATTTTCATTCTTTCGGCGGATAATAAAAGGTGCGAATGAGCACCTGAACAAAGTTGAGAACACATACCTGACAACATTAGCAATAAAATAAAACAGGTGCATTTCATTAGCCACGTCGATCAAATAGAAACTGCCTCACAAGAAATACTAAAAGAACCACAAAAAAAATTATTCATAATTGTAGTTAATCCTCTCTAAGAAGTCTAGAATATAACCATTAAGAAACCTAAAACCACTTTTAGCAATAAATTTCGGAACTTGCGGTTATCTTTTTTTAGTTTAATGACAACCGCTGTCATACTTTTGTAAATACAATTTAAAAAAACAAAAACGTTATTGTAAAACTTTTATATGAGACTTCAAATAGATTGGGGTAAATTAAAAAAATTCATTCGTTGGCTATTTAGTTGATCAGAATGGCTCTCTCCTCCTGTTAAATGTCAAACCATAAAAAAGAATGAAAACTCACTAATGGGAAAAGCCTATTATTTTTGCGATTTAAAAAGTTGAAAAATCAAAAGCCCACTAAAAGGTTCTATTAGCAAAATTTATCCTAACTATGCTATTAAAATTACTAACAAAGATGGTTTACAAATACTTCTTGACATCCAAACCAAAAAAAAAAATTCCATGCCGTTAGACAAAATATTACAATGCAAGATAAGAGAAGGGCAAGCAGTTAATCAAAATACTACTCTCTTCATCATCTACTTCAAAAAACAAATCATTAGTGTCACTGTTTATATCCCTTGACAACCAGAACTTTTAGGAAGAATAGGAAGTTTAGAAAGAGGTAATGAAAACTGTTTTGTAAAACTCCACTATCGCAATCCTTATCAAAAACTGTGATTTAAAAATCATGGACATTACTAAAATCATAGAAAACAAGCAAAAACAAAAAGACTAAATTAGTATGAAAAAAAATGCTAATTCCAACTCAGAAAAAAGAAACCAAAAGTTAATAACTATTGATCCGAGCGGAACTGGAACTACCGGAATATACTTTTTAGATAAAGAAACCAATAATGAAATCTTGCAAGAGCACAAAAGTCCTAAATGAGAAGAACATCTACAATTTTTAGTAGAAAAAGTTAAACTTTGAAAACCTAATATTATCATTTATGAAAACACTTTTTATGTTCACAAAAGAATACCAGGAACATTATCACTACTTAAACTAATTGGTGGAATTGTTGGAATTAAGTATACTTTTGATTTTATTGAAGAATTGAATAGCATAGCGGTTAACCAAGTCAAATCCTTTAAAAACAAACTTTTTACTAACCAAGAGCAAATAGAAAAATTAAATTGTAAAATAGGGCGAGGTAAAGGATGAAAATACAAAAACAAAAAAATAAGTCTTCATCAATTAGATGCCTTAATAGTTTATCACTTATGAAGCGGAGAAAGTCTTGAAAGTACCAAAATTGTCAAAAAAAAAATCACTGAACTAAAAAGTAAAAAAAGATTGGGCATTAAACAAAAGGAAAAATTAGAAAAACTACAAAAAATCCTACAAGAAAGAGGATTCAATAACACTTCTACTTAATTTCTGATTCTTTTCCGTACACACCTTGCACGAAGTAAAATATTGCTCCTCCTAAAACCATTATTAAAGTAATAATCCCAAATATAACAAGATAGGATATATCTGGTAATGGGGTAGTTTCAACAGTTTGAACTCTAATCATCATACTTATTCTAGCTTCTATTCTACTAACTAATTTGATAACCGCTTCTTGCTCAGCAGGCTTTAATTTAGTAAATTCTGTATGTTTTTCACCTGAATCCTTAACATATTTTTCCAAATCTTTTAACTGTGCTTGTAATTCCTCCGTTTTATTCATATCTTTCAAGTTTTCATTACTTTTATAAGCAAATTCATTATATTTTTTCATTAAATTACCTATTTTTTGCTTTTCTTGATCAGCATCATTTTTTAAAGTATTAGCTACCAAAATTATTGGAACCAGTTCAGTTTTGGCCTCGGTTTTTTCCTCTGGTTCTAAATCAGGAGCATTATTAATAAGGGTTTCAATTACATTTTTAACCGTAGAATCACTATTTAAAACCTCTTTAAAACTCTCTTCTTTCTTCTTTTCAGGAGTTTGATCTTTGAGTTTTTTTAAATTAGTAATGGCCGCAGGCACATCTGTCTTATTATTACCAGCATTTCAAGCCGCTTGTTGGGCGGGCGTTCCCGTTGGATAAGTATTCGCAATCGT